TGTGGCTTATTCCATAATATTTCAGTTTTTCTAATAAAATTTGATGGTTACCTGTGTCAAATGATTTTGACAAGTCTATACCTAAACATATACCTTACATATAATTAAATTATAAGTCTATACCGAAACATACTTCTAAAGTATAAGTATAACCTAATCATATACCTAAAGTGAATTTGTTATGAGAAGATGCTCCACTGATAACTTCAACAAGTTGCATAAGTGCATGTTCCGTAGAGTAATTTAATCAAAAACCATATTGGTTTATAAAGAAGATTGCTATCATTCAAAAATGCAAATATCCTATTATACATAATACGTTCAAGGGTTTTTAAAAAAACAGGTAACACCGATATAGGGGTCGATAATTTGTAACCACTTTTATCTCCTGATTTAAAAATGGGTGTAACAACTCCAACTTTCAGTTTATCTGGAAAAACGCCTGTTTTAAGCGATTTGTTTAAAATATCTAATAAAACATCTTTAATAAGTTTATTGCAGTCTTTGATTATGCTTGCTGAAATAGAATCATAATCTGTTGCTTTATTTATATTTAATTTTTTTATTTAGTCATTAAGTTCTTTACTAATGAGTTTTTTAAATGCTAAGCTTTTATCAGACTACGATAGATAGTTCATGGAATGTGCAGGAGTGTGATTTTTACTGACTAAATTTGGACCAATATTTACGAAAAACTCATTAAATTTTGTTGCCACCAGAGTGTACATTTGTGAGCTGTCTAATCACGACTTGATGTCGCTTGGTAAGACTTTGATGTATATTTTTTGTTTTCCAAGAATCTCTTTAACAGCATCCAACGTTTTTTTCCAGTTACCTTTTAGTTCTAACAGCTTGTTTTTGAAGTATGTAGTTCTGTCTATTTTGTTAGTTTTTTATATAGACGTTTGTGCTCTATGTAATTACGCTTGTGGCAATCTTTCTTTGATTTAAAAAAGCGTATATATAGCTTTTGTTTTCGTTTCGAAGACTTTAAGAGGTTTTTAGTGAACCAAGGATTAAGAAGTCTTTTAGTTTTAATACGGTTTGCTTTATTAGGAAAATGTATATCGTACAAATTGAAAAATTTGTACGATATACATGCCTAGAAAAAGGTTGTAGCCGTTATTAGCACATGTCTCGAGATAAACAAAGATCCAATTTACAGTCGATAGCTCTAGTTTAAACATATTTTTTGCTCGGGTTGTAAAGATTCTCATTTTGAAGTACCTGTCCTTTTTTTGTTTATCTTTTGGTTTTTTGAAAATTGCAAAGACTGGGAAATGGTCGGCTATGTCACTTCTAATAATGCCTGATTTAAATGTGGAATGGAAAAGTGTGTTTGTGAAAATATTGTCGATTGCAGAACATAAGTTTTGTGTTATTCTTTTTGTTTTTTTTTATTATAGGCATTATTCCAAACTCATTAAAGCGATCGTAAAATTGTTGTACTTTTCTATTTTCACCATATTTCAAATAGTCGACCTTAGAATCTCCAACAAATGAAAACGAGCGGTCTTTATTTTTTCTGCATGCTATTTCAAAATAATCACTTAAGTGATTTTCAAAATTATTTAAACATATGTTTGGTGGTCGGTATTTAGTTGTTACAATAATATTTTTTCATGACTTACTTACTGTAAATTTCTTGATATTTTTTCATTACTTACATACTTACTGTAAATTTCTAAAGTGAAAGATTCAAAATCCGGTTCAGAGAGCAATACGTCATATCTAATTTTATAAGTAAATTCATCAAGCACATAGAAACCACCGCCTGTTTTTGAAAATTTACGTTCAAAACTAATGGCTTTGTAGTTGGGTTAAATAAAGTTAGAATTTTGATTAAATGTTGTATCTAAAATCCAGCTTTCCGTTAAACAAATTAAGCAAAAGTTAAAGTTAAGATTATCTTGTAGAACTTTTAGTTTGTCGAGTTTGTTTAGTTCGTTTTTAATAATACTACGAATATTTAAATGGAACACTGAGAATTGATAAGAAAAATATAAACCACATCTTTTAAGGAAAATAGTGGCTTTATCCAATTCAAAGTAAAAAGTGTTCAGTTTGTTTTGTATTTTATATTTGTAAAGGTTTTAGGAAGGTCATTAATGTATATAATGAATAACAAGCGGGCAAGAGTTGATACATGTGGAACACCACATTTTATTTTGAACAGCATTAAATTAGAAATATCGTTGATTAAGACATGCTGTTGTCTATTATTTAAATAACTGGAAACCATTTAGCAGTTTTGTTTTTTATGCCATATTTTTCCATTTTTTTAATCAGAATTTTATGGTCGACCTTATCGGAAGTTTATAAGATCAATAAAGCCGTAAAACATTGTCAAATTTTTTAGTTTTGCTATAAGGTTTGCCGAGTAGCCGTCTAGATGCTAAAATAAAGACGCTCTCAAACTGTTTGTTGAAAATGCTTGCCTGCTGTTGTTTGTGAGTCGTTATTAGGCCAGAGCTATTTAGTAAAGTGTTAATACCAACTTTACTTTTCTTTTTGCTATTGATTTACACGAACAGACGTTAAGGATTTTTTATCATAAGGAAGGTTAAGTTCAAATTTATTTCGTGCTTTTTGCTAGTTTTCTTCAGACTATTTGTAACTTAGGGTGGAATGCAAGAAACAAACTTGAGTCAAGTTCGACTTGAACTTTACTTTGTAACCAATAGCGGCAGAGTATTTTTTGAGGAGAAAACCCATACTCTGTCGCTATTGGCTGCAATGTAAAGTTCAAGTTGAGTTCGACTCAAGTTCTCTTCTTGCATTCCACCCTTAGTTGTACCGCATTTTTAAGTCGTTAAACATCCATTAATTTACCATGTTTAAATGTCATATTCGTGATTTTAGTCTAAATAGTTGCTTAACCTCTTTGCATATCCAAGGCGCTTTCTTTTTAAGGGTTAGATGAGGTATTATGATTAGGGTTAACTCAACAGATTTATTTTTATAAATACATACATAGGTATCATAAGCAACTTTTATGTTATTAGTGCCTAGTTATGATGCCCAATCGATTTTTGGTAATTTAGGGAACATAGTAGTGAAGTCATCTTTTTTATAGTTTAAGTTAGAGCTGGTGAATCTATACGCCCAATTGGTAGTAAGACTACAACTCTAGTGTAGAATTATAGTAAATTAAATGAGACTGGCGGGCTGCAATCAGTTGGGACCCTGGTCTGATATTTAATACACTGAGAAGATTTGCGCTTATAATATTGTGGGTGTGTATTTTTGTCGTCGGACATTGTAAAAGTAGGAAAGTATACGTATTGAGATAAAAACTCGTCGGCTGTTAATTAAATGTATATGTATGTTAATTAAATGTATATGTATGTTAATTAAATGTATCCTGGGCTGTTATCTGGTACGAGCATAATGACTGATCCATATAAAAAAATTGCAGTGATTGAAGCCTGGAAACAGAATACACTTGAAAAATCGAATACACTTGAAACCCACTGCCCCAAAAGTGGATTAAAATATATATATATATATATTTTTTCTTTATAGCACTTTTTAATCAATCGAAATTTATTGAAAAAATTAACTTATGTTTTATATTTCATATCGTCTAAAAATGGCGACTAAGGAAAGTTTGAAACTCTTTTTGTTTTTCTGTTTCTGGTGGACTTTTTTTTTTCAAATAAATTATTTCCATCACGGTGTTTGCTCTGAATAACTTTATTGTTTATTGTTGAGTTTATTAACTAACGGCACGCAAATTGAAGTGTCAATTTGATATTCGTTTTGTTCTCTCAGAGATGATATTTAAAAGTAACTTTTAAGTTACTTTTAAATTTTATATTATTTTAAATATTACAGAGATGATATTTAAAAGTAACTTTTAAGTAAAATTTAAAAGTGTTTAGAGCGTTAATACCAAAAATATAACTGCTTTTAATATAAAAATAAATTAAATTCCTGCTAACTGCATTTCGTGTGCTAAGCTTTCATTTTGTCATTGTAACAAATGATTTTATATTCATACGCGCAAATACCTTTTTATTTTCATAACAACCCAGCAAACTCTTCATGCATGATTATTATTGGATTGTGATCGACACCACTGCACCGGTGATGCGTTCAAGTACGAATGATTTGCCAAGATCGTTTTTTGATTTCCATTACCGATTTTGATCTATTTTTTATTTACCTCTGGCTAGAGGTAAATAAAAAATAATTATGTATAAATGTCTTTTATATCTAAATTATATCTGCCTATAGTTACTAACACCCTAACTTTGAGTGTATGTATGTACTACAAACCCTGCAGATGACCATTTTAGTGTGATGTACCAATATAGTTACTTGCACGTTAATATAGTTAACTGCACGTCTGAGTAACACCAGGTTAATTTTTTTCAGTTTGCGCGTGTCTTCACACTAACAGTCATAGTGAGTGGAAACCATGTGAAAATAAGAATAAAATTATAAAAGAGCAATAAATATTAAGTATTTGCGAGTGGTTAAATTCGGTACAATTATTTTGCACTTAACTTAAACTTGAAGAAAACAAAGCGTGTAAATCTTTGGTCTATGTACCTCATCCGTTATTCCACTGCATCGAAGTGTAGACTGAATTATACGTAAAAATATTCCAGTCAACACGACGAAGAGTTATAAAGGGCCCTAGCCGACCATGTTTTGTACTTTTTTGTTTTGTACTACACTAAAGCGTCTTAAACATCTTATAATTGCTATTATTAAAAATTAACTTATCGCTACTGGTTGGTTACTTTTCTTAGACTTGTAAATGAAGTAATTTACCAAATCGAATGATACTTTAGGCGGACAAATAATAAAATTTAGGTCTCCAAATAATCGAGATAATCTGGATAATCATAGGATTAACGTCGGCGCTTAGTTAACTTACATGGGTGATCATTTTCTTTTTTTGTACATTAAAAAGATCTGATACTGTTTAAAGATAAATATTTTCACTAAACGCCAGTGAGTGACGTATGAACCAATTAAAAAGAGGCGCATAAAATTTTATTACAATTGATACATGAGATAAATTAACAGATACAATTGATTAATAAATAAGATTTAATAAGTTATATATCATTTGACTTAACACAATCATATATCGCATAAAACTATAGCTTTATCTCCTTTGCGGAGCTTTTATTACAATAGATAATTGATTAAGTATTTATACTATAAAATAATTTATTTTACAAATAAAAGTAAATGTGTAATATATATATGCAAACCGTCTTATATACAGGAAAAACATTCAAGTATTTATAGGATGAGTAAATAAAACAAAAAGAAGATTCATAATTAAAAGATTTTTTGTAACAGTTTTTAAGGTAAAAAAAATATTTGAATCAAGTTTTATGATAAAAAATTTCTACTTGGTTTAAATATAAAACAAAATTTTAGAGAGAAGAATGATTTATAGACGTAGTAAGAATGATTTATGTACATATATATAATATAAATAGTCTTTAATGCTAATAAAAATAATTTATAAAAACGTGTCTACATCAAAAAGGTCACTGATACCTTCGTTACAGTCGAGAGAAAAAAGATAATCTTCAGCTTTGAAGTTAGGCTCAAGGGAAATAAGGGGAGATATAGAGAGTTCATTTTGGTAACAGCTTTCATTATATGCAATAAAGTCCTCTGAATCAAGTTTATTTATGTGGAGAGCATCACAATTCATCGAAGAAAGTGTTGTATTGGCATCGTAGCTTGAAAACTGACATTCATCAAAATATCCTGAACTTTGACTAAGATTACCCGGAGAACAAAGATTTTCATTATTGAACGGTGAAAATTCAGAAACGGAGCTTGTAGAATCCGAGTAAGCACATTCATCAAGCCTATCATTCGAAGGTGGTACATTCTCTTTATTTTCTGGACATAAGTATACATCAATGGGCCCATTTGAACTTTTTAACCAAATCTGAATCGACTTGAAAAAAAAAAAAAAGTAATTACATGATAAAATAGTTATATCAGTACATGTTTTGTACTGATATGATTATTTGCATTGACAATGGGTTACATTGATTTTTATAGACAAATTAAAAAAAGGAGGAAATTTTTGCTATTATCCTAAAAAAAAAAAGTACCAAAATTAGGTATATTGAATGAAACGAAATTTTAAAACTTGAAGCAAGTGTGCAAGAGAAAAATATTATCAGTACCCTACTAAACAGTAGTAGTTTAGTATGCAGATATATTTCTTATATAAAAGATAACTTCTATTCAGCAAAACAGGTAGGTAGCTAACTGGAGTGACCCCTGTCAGTCATTATTGTAGGAAAAGGGGTCACCCTCAGTTAGATACTACCTTTTCCACCTAATAAATCAGTTACAGAAGGTAAAAAAAGATCTTTGACTCGAGTTTATAAAACAAAATTTCCACTTTGTTTTAATTTAAAATACAATTCAAGCAAGAGAAATATGATTAATAGAAGCCATAAAATTGATTTATGTACACATATATACAGTCATTAATGATAATAAAAATATTAAATAACCATATTTTATATATAATTTTCTTTTACCCATTCTTCAATTGTAAACATCTTTTTTTTCCTGCACATATTTCGAGATAAATCAAAGATATTGCTTTTATTAAACTTATATTATGAATCAAAAACTGAAAATTATGTTTTATATTGTAGGTTTTATAATACTATGTTACATTTTATATCAATTATAGTATAGATTTTTAATAACAGCTTTAAATTATATGTCTTAAAATATACTAGAGGCTATTTTAAGCCACTTTTAACAGCCTGTAACACATTTGGGTGGCACCGGAGACAATAAAATTTGCTATAGAAATAATTTACATTATGTGTAGATATTTCTGCAAACCAACTAAAACATGAAATTGTTTCTGATTTTCAATTAGATTGTTAAACATTTTATAGGGCCTTCATATTTTCTGCTTTATTTGTTTAGATAACTTGACACATAATATGCACATGATATATATTAATCAGTTCTATAATAAATGTAGTTATTATTACATTTTAGAAATAGTAAAAATGCTTTTAAAAAAGTTATAATTTTTGTAAGCGTTTTTATAGAAATAGGCTTAGAAAAAAAGCTGTAGTTATTATTCGAATTAGTTTTTCATTTTTGGTTATATGATTTATTTATTTAGTGCAGTAAAATGATAAATTGACTACCTAGTAATAGGGGAAGTAATGTAAACAGGCAATATATAATATACAATATATACAAAGGGGTTGAATTAAGCAATCAAGAAATGCAAAATCTAAAAAAATATCTTTAAGATTTTAGTTGATGCTAAACTGTGTTCTTTATTTTTAAGGGATAAATCAACTTAAATTTGTTAGCAAAAAAAAAAAAAAAAAAATAAAACAATAAACTTATGACTACAAAAATAATAACACTAGTTTACGCAAAACCGTGTTCTTTGATTTCAAGGAGCGAATCAACTCTATTTTGTTAGTGAGAAAGATATAAAAAATTAAAAAACAATTAACTTACAACTACTAAAGTAATAACACTCTTGTCACTAACTGCATAATAAAAGTAACAAAACTATAATGTGTTATTACTTTTATAAAGCACTTATAACTTTCAAAGTTCATTCTTTGTTCAAACAACATAAGAAATCCCAAATTTTATTGAAGTATAAAAGCTTCTACAAAAAACAGAGTAGGGATTCAACTAATATTCAAAACTTTAGGAATTTTAACAACTTATAAAAATGTTTTTTAAAAAAAGTTCAACATTATAAAAAATGTAACTAATGGTACATAAAAACACGCATTATTTTTAAAATCCACCAATAAAACAATTTTATTGGTTGATTTTAAAATTAATGCACATTTTTACAGACTATTAGTAATGTTTTAGATTATACTAAACATTATATAAAGTATGTTTTTATGAAGTTGTATAAGTATATTTGTAAAAGTTCCTGAAGTTTTGAATAATATTTGAATATCTACTTTATTCTTTCTAGATGCCTTTCTACTTTAATCAAAGTTTGGAATTACTAATGTTGTTTGAATAAAGAATGAACTTTAAAAGTTATAAGTGTTTTATAAAAGAAATAACACTATTATAGTTTTGTTACTTGTATAATGCAGTTAGTGAGTAGAGTATTATTACTTTAGTAGTTGTTAGTTTATTGTTTTTTAATTCTTTATAACTTTCTCACTAACAAAATAAATTTGATTTGCTCCTTGAAAAGAAAGAACACAGTTTTGCAATAACTAAAATTTTGAAAACAAAATATTTTTCCAGATTTTGCGTTTCACGATCGTTTAATTCAACCCTTAATATATATTTACATACATGTATATAAACTAAAAAAAAAAACCCACCTCATTAGGATCAGGAACTTCTAACTTGGTTTCTGGAGGAGCTTTAATAGCAATAACAGTTTTGTTGTTAAAATCTTTAATACCACGGATATCTTGGTAAGTAACATATGAATGTCTTAAAACTGTCAAAGAGCATAAAGGCATAAAAATAAAATGCTCTAACTGATTGCATAAATTTTTTATTTTTGCAAATAGTTCAAAATTATCAAATGTGCTGGTTTAAAACATGAATGAAAAGATACTTATTGTAATGTTTAGCACCACTGCATTGCTTCATTTCATTTTGACATTGCTGAATGAGTTCATCAAGTTTTGCTTCAGACAGCTTTAAATCCTCTATATCTTGATGCAAATCTACTAAATTAGTCGCGAGGATTGCTTCCTCTTGATTTTCTACATCGGCAATATTATCATTTTGATTTTCCAAATGCTTTGCACCACTTTATTTAAAAAAAAATATATAAAAAAAATTAAACTAGATTATTAAAAATTAAATTGAGCAACATATCAATGTAAAACCTGTAAAATATATTCCTGGTTATATTCTATTATAATTCATTAGAGATCAAAATATTAAAAGATGACAATGAACTATGTTTATTACAAATCAAATTCTTTTATATAGAATTTTGCTAAAGTGGGGAATATTATTTATAATAAATGTAAGAGAACCTTATATAAAAAAAACTTACACCCATTTAATATTATTTTTAGAATTCTTTTCGATAACACCAATACCCTCCAAAACATTTGTTATGTCGTAAATTCTCCTTTTTTGAACATCAAGTAATTCAGCAGCCTGATTAAGGTCAAGGATTCCACTGACTGAGTTTCGAAGAAGTGAAACAAATCGCTTAGTAAGAATACCCAAGGACGTTTCATAACGTCGCTCACATGCTGGCGACTTTTGAACTGCTACAAACAAGCGATAAATATATTTACAGTTAAAAATTTGTAACAAAGAAATACTATTACCAATATTATCACACACAAAAAATGTTATTCATCTCTATCTATATCTCTCTATCTACCTATATCCATCTCTCTCTCTTTTTCTCTCTCTCTCTCTCTCTCTCTATATATATATATATATGTATATATATATATATATATATATATATATATATATATATATATATATATATATATATATATATATATATATATATAAACACACTATTTAATATAGACATAAACTAACTCAAAAAATTTAAATGAAAAAGCAAGCGATGATTGTACAACAAACCTAATTTTTCCTCTAATGCAGGAGAATTTAATTTTGTTTTAAATGTTGCAGGAGCAATTGGTTGAGGAGCAGATCTGATTATTTGTTTAGTCTGTGAATTAGCCATAAAAACCTTTGAAGGTGTTTTAAATGTTGTAAATATAATAGGTTGCAATGGTTGCATGGCAACCGGTTCTTGTTGACGATTTTGCTGTTGTAAAACAGCCTTGTGTTCAAGATCAAGTTTTCGTTTCACCTGTAAAAATAATAAAAAAATAAACAGTAAATAACTAAATAAAAACTTCTTTCCTTATTTTAGTGTAAAAGCTGTTTTATAAATAAAGCTACTAAGTTACTTAAACAAAAATAAATAAAGCTACAAATTTACAGCTCTGCTGTAAGTAAAAATAAAGCAATATGTATATAAAAAGTAGCCACAACAAAATTGGTTCAATTTAATTACAGAATAAAATTTAAATTATAATTTTTATTAGAATACTCAATGCAGTTAAGAAGAGATTGAAGGTTTCATGTTTCTTATAAATTAAATTATTCATGTCTGACACTTGTTTTCAACTACTATATATTTTTGAAAAACAGAGTTTAAGCTTTTCTTACATTAATATTTTTAAAAAATCATTTTACAGAACAAGTATCAAAAAATGATATGAAAACTATGATAAAAAAGTTTCATGTCTTATATGTCGTTGTAAATCTTATCACTACTATTACAAATATTTTTACTATTATTAATAAAAATTATAATTTAAAATTTAAATTTATTAGATAATCATCAGATTAAAACTAAAAAAATTAATGAAAACAGTGCAATCTAATATAAAAAAATAATAATCGCAAATCACAATTCACAACAGTCTAAAGGAATTTAGACTTGATTAAATATTTTAATTTGAAAAAATTGCAAATAAAATTGAAAATATGTATCTTAATATTGTTTTATAAACCAAATATGATATGGAAGATGCTAAGTATTTACTAAAATACCTGTTTTAACAAATAAAGTATCTTTGTGTCCAACAATAAAATATTCTATAAATGGCTGAAAACTTCTCAATCTTTCCGTAAAAATACAAAAAGTTTAAAATCAAAGTTTCAACATTAATTTTAACTTTAGATAATTTATATTCAAAATCCAATGACATTTATTTGAGTAAATAAATAAAAAATACTTTCAGCTTTCACAAACTTCTTTGTCTCTAGTAACTAGCTTAAATTTGAAACTCATAGAACTTTTAATCACTGAACAATTATAAACAAAATACACTGAACTTCAATTATTTGTTTTAAAATGAACCAATGAGAAAACACACAAGAAAGTTATTATATTTTTAAAAACAAAAAAGCAGAAACGCCTTATTTTTTCTTCAAGTCTCTCCTTAACTGGATTGAGTTAACGCAATATATATATATATATATATTATATATATATATATATATATATATATATATATATATATATATATATATATATATATATATATATATATATATATATATATACATATATGTAAGTATACACATACATGTTGTATAAATATACATACACATATATGTATGTATACAAACATATTTATATGCAGGGACACAAACACATTTTAACACTGTCACACAATTATTTTAAAATAAACAATATTAATTTAGTTTTTATTGCATACCATGTTGACAATTATGTAAAAATCATGTCACTATTTCCAAAAAGTAAAATATTTTTTCTTATATCTTATTTTTCTCATAATTTTATATAACTTTAGCAAAATAACTGTTCCTGAATTTTTTTAAAGAAATATCTTTGTCAAATACATCTGAAAAACATCCTTAAATCCACTAAGCAGACAAAAAAAAAAAAAAAAAAAATCTATAGATCATCTAACAGTTCTTTTTATTAAACTTTAAAAAAAAAGCTAAAATAGTCTTAAACAACACCTATGTCTAGGTAACTTGGAACAGTAACATTGTTTGAAAATTAATATATATATATATATATATATATATATATATATATATAAAACAAATATTATGAGCATTCAGAACATGCATAAAGATCCACAAATACTTGTTAAAAAAAATATGGTTTATTAATTATTTTAATACAAACTCATTATTAAAATTAAATAATAAAAAAAAATTATGATAACTTCTAATATTTCTTTATTATAAAAACTTTTACACGATCTAACAAGTAACAATAATATTGTTATTTATAGATTTTACTAGAGACTAATAAATTTCTCTGAATACAAATATCAATTTATTTAAATGGAATTTTTTATATATTAACAACAATTTTTTGAATGTGTTTTAAATGAAGCTTATAAAAAGCTTTTTTTCTGAAAAAAAAACTCTATCTATGAAAACTAACATGTTTACAATAAGTATTGCTCCATAATTAAAATAGACTATAAATTATATAATATATATATATATATATATATATATATATATATATATATATATATATATATATATATATATATATATATATATATATATATATATATATATATAAATTCCAATGCAACTTTCTAAGAAAACCACTATATATACTTTGCTTCTTATTAAAAGTTTATAAGTACACAATTTACTTATTTACTGAAGACAATAAAAGTACAAACATACATATTATCTTTAACTGTAATGTAAACAACCATACATATGTTAACTTTTTTTATTTAATTTACAAAGTTAAAATTTTGCTGAAATTAAACTGATTTAAACGTAATATCGAGGGAGAGATTTAACCAAAACCAAATTTTCTTATTTTATAATGATGAGATTAAATGCAAATAGGATTAGTAACTATTAACTTATTTTTAAATACGTCAAATTTTAATTTTTTATACGTCATTTTTTTATATATTTATAGTATTTTTATATACGTCAAAACATTACGGTGCGTTTAAAATGAACAACATTGTAGGAAAATTTGGTACCTGGGGTCTCGGTTGATTTCTTTTCGATCTGTCGTTGGCTGGTGTTGAAAACGATTGTTTAAACTGACTATCGGAAGGTGTTCCGGGAGAAGAATTAAATTGAGTCGACTCGTACATTGACCTAGAAGATTTTTTACCTTCGAAAACCTCAGGAATATCAAGATATGTTGTGTTCATTATAGTTAGATAAGCAGATAAAATTTCAAGTTTTTTCTTTTTAGCCTAACAAATAAATTTTCAAATAAGGAATTATTCTACTAGTTGAAAAAATTGTGCAAAATATTATCTCATAGATTAATAAAAATAACTAAGATATTCAAAAACATATCAAACTTTAAGTCATTTTATACGATGTAAACGATTTTTTAAGATATCTCACTTCAAAACAAATATTTGTTAAGAAGTAGTGTAATCATCTCGTTTCGCGCGTTTTTTTAACAAATGTTATCGATCTCGGTCTAATTGCACACAAAGCCAGCTTAATTCATTCTATTGGTTAAATTTTCCCGCTAGTTAAAATTTTATTGTTCATGTCAAACGCGCGGGAAAATGAAAAAAGGGCAAAAGATGCTAGTTATTAATGATACCCATTAAGTATAAGTATAAATAAACACATATGATTTTAATTTTAATTTTTATAAATACGTATAAACATTTGTGTACCCATATAATTTTGAAACAAATATATTAAAAAATTTGAAATACAATTTAATTACTATGAGTTACAATTAAGGGAGCATGCGCTAAAAGCATTTTTTGTGTATTTTTGTGCATCTATTGCAGATATTTTTCACTACCTCAAATAAATACGAATACCTTTCAAGAAACTTAATATTGTAACGGTTTTATCAAAAGTGTCAAACTTTGTCAAACATTTTTAAAAGCAAAAAAAAAAAAAAAAAAAAATCACAGTTATGCTATTCATTTTTTAAATAAAACTTTTCAATAAAAAGTTTGTATAAAAAGTAAAGGATAAGGGAAAAATTGTTAGCTCTAATCCCCTTTGTCATGTACTCTAATGGCTAAATATAATTAAACTTTATACAAAAATAACTAATTTACTTAATTGGTTTTTTTATTTATTTTTTATTATTTTTTTATTTTTTATTTTTTTTGATTTTTAATTGACTTTATTATCTAAAGTTGTAACTATTATTATTAATACTTTTCAAAATAACAGAACGAGGGTTTCAAAAAAGTTCTTTTTAGCATAACGTGAATAAATCGGGTGAAGAATATTTTTATGGTTCGCTAAGTAATTATGCTACCAAGCAACGAGCTTTTGTGATTGTGCATATTTCTAACCTGCTCTTCACAGTAAGGAAAATGTTTTGATAAAAAGTAAATGATCCTAAACTTTTTATTAAATTTTCTGAGAAGTTTGAAATTGCTACTACTTGATGATTTAAAAATAAATGTTTTGTTATAAAAAGAGCACACTGTTCACACTGAGCACAGAAATTATAATTTAACTATTTTTAAAAATTTATTGATTTAGTTAATGTACAATACTTGTTTGTAATTGTCAGTTTTCTTTTCATGCTTCTATACTCGGGCCTATTTTATTTGAAACAGTAATAATTTTTTTAATGCCAGTTCCGTAAAAGATACGAAAAACTTATTACTTATTATTTTTGCATTATTTGGCAATGAAATGAAAAATATTTTTATACATTATTAATATTAATTCTTTATGCTATAAATAAAAATAAATAAAGCTAAAAATTTACAGCTCTATTGCCCATCAAACGTAATACAATAGACGTACAACAGAAAGCCAGACATGTGGTCAAAGAGCTTCTGGCTTCTTCATTAGTTCATGTCATTAAAGTCAAACAAATGCTAAATTTACCGAATGGGTATCCAACATCATACTAATGTTGGTTAACGCTTTACGTCGACTTGATTGTAAAACGTTTTTGTGGGGTTGATTTAATTGAATGATATAAAAACCCTTAAATTATGTATTGAAAAATGGTTTTGTTAAAGCACCTTATAATCTTTCCTTCAAGATATAATAAAGGTAAATATATTCGAAAAAACATGTTTCTTTTTAGAACACGTTGAAAAATCATATGTTGTCTTCGTCGAAATAAATTTACTACAAAACCATTTATTATTAAAACATTTTTCTTCTTTTCGGTGTATATTTTCTATTGTAAGCTTTATATAACATTTCTTAAGTTTGATCAGTTGTTTTGTTAAAACAAGCAGATAAGGAGCAGATAATACGCAACGAGGTCTTATTTTGTTTATTTTCTATAGGTCGTAAAAAAATAATTAAGGCTAATAGTTTCCAATAGCAGAAAGTGTTTTCTTTGTTAATCAAAAGAAAATGTTTATTGAAAAAAACTACAACACTAAGCATAAACGCATGACTTGTTGATCTCAAAATTTTTGTATCTTAGTAAAGTAATTTTTACAAAAAATATAATTAAAAAAATGCACGAGTTGTACATTGCTAAGCAATCTAAGGATGTCTAACTTGTACTTTTTTTTTCGAAAAGTAAAATTTTTCGTTTAAAATTTTCACTTTAATTGGCAAAAATTCAGTGAAAACGTAAATTTTAATGAAATATATATGCAACAATCAAAAACGCAATAAGAAATGCAAAGAGTGATTATAAAATTCCATATTTTACCAAATAAACATTTGAAATGAGAAAGCATAGTGCTTTTTTTTTAATATATATTGAAAATAAACATTAGTTTTATTCCTTAGTCATAAAGCTCATAAAATCTTCTAGGTAATCTTACTGCATCATTACAAAAGTAAATCATTTACAAAAACATCAAGTTAACTTTAACCTAAACTGAAAAACATACTTTGTAACATAGTTCTTACCCAGTGAGCACCTGTCCTAAAAAAGACATCTTTTGGACGTTCAAAAGACGTCCAAAACGTTCAAAAGACGTTCAAAAGACATCCAAAATGTGTATAAGACATTTAAAAAACGTCTATTTTACGTTCGTGCCTGGGTTAATTTTTTTTTTCTCAAAATGAGAAAACTCTTGTTTTGAAAAATGAAATCACTGACATTATGTTCTTTAAGTAAATATAAATTTAGTTATAAAACAGTGTAGTATATTCAGGGCCGGCTTTTAGGGGGGGGGGGGGGCGAGATCGTGCGCCGCACGAGGGTGGCAAGTGAATAGGGGCGGAAAATTTTATTTGCTACAAGTTTTAATTTTCTAATAGTAAATTAAAAATAAAAGATTTAACGCCTGACCTTTTCAAAAAAATATCAAAATTTACTTAAAAAAATATAATTAACGCATGGTTTTCTAATGTATTATATAGTATCATTTGTGCGTTATTTCCCCTGGTCATTTCGAAAAGTTGCACAACTTTTATTCATAAAGAAGCTCAACAGTTCATATTTTTTGTTATTAAGTGTTAAGTTAACTCAATTTTAAAAACCAGTAAGTTTTGTTTTATCTTCTTTAAGAATTTTATCAATGTTTCTTGAAAACTTCGTTTAATTTTTTTTTTTTTTTTCCATTATAGAAATAATTTTATCTTACAAATAAAAAATAATCTGTCTCATGTCACATAATATTTCAAATTCAAGAAAAAAGTTGTCTGGGTATGAGTTCAGAAAAAGAAAGTCCAAAAAATATCAAAAATTTGAAAAAATTAGAAAATTCATGAGCATTGAAAAATATGTTGCTAATAAAAAACCTGACGAAGGTCGTAAATACTTCAACTCTGATGCTTCAACTATCTCTAAAAATATGTCCAATAAAATTGGAGAACCTTCAACAATACTTAAAAATAATTGTATAACTTCATTGGATATCAAAGTAGATAATGAACCAGTTATTTTAAAAAAATCAAATGATTAATCGGAAGATTTTGTAAAAGAAACATCTAATTTATTGGATTGCGGAAAATGGCCAATTGTTCGATCTAGCAATATTGTGGATCTAGCAATATTGTGGACCAATTAATTAAACTTGGTCCTTTTCAAATAACAAATGAAAAATACCCTGAAGATAGAAATGGTCGACATTGTTTTAGCATTTATTACAATTGCAAATCGAGAATCCTTTTGCCGTAGATGGTTGGTTTATAATATATACTTCAGATTCTAAAAACTCCGTATTTTGTTTTTGCTATCTACTTTTTGGTAATAATTTAAATTCAAAATTATTCTCTAATGAGTTTAATAAATGTAGACATTTAACTGAAACATTGGGAATCCATATGTAATGTTATCAACAATGGATGAAAACTGAAAAAAGATTAAAAACTGGCAAAAACTATAGATAATGAAGAACTTAAAATTATAAAAAAAGACAGTCTGCAATGGCAAAATGTTCTTCTACGCTTAATGAATGTCACTCTTTATCTAGCTGAAAATATTATGGCTTTTCGAGGGAGTTTAGATAAACTGTTTACACCTCGAAACGGAAAATTCTTTGGATTAATACAGGTCCTTGTAAAATTTGATCCTGAGATGCAAAAACATTTAGCACTTGCAATAAAAGGTGGCACTTCATGTCATTACTGTGGGAAAAATATTCAATATGAGTTAATAGATTTAATGTCTCAAAAGGTTAACGGTGAAATAATGAACCGAGTCTTAAAAGCCGTTTACTATTCAATCATTGCTGATTGTACACCTGCTATTTCTAGAAAAGAACAAATTTTGCTTATAATTCGAATTGTTGACTTGTCATTAGATATTAAAGTTGAAATTAAAGAGTAATTTTTAAGGGTTTTTTCTGTTTCTGATTCTACAGGCTTAGGACTTACTAAAGTTTTAATCGAATCACTAAGTAAACATGGGCTTGAAATCTCTAACTGCAGAGGTCAAGGGTATGATAATAGATTAAATATGAAAGGAAAGATAAATGGATAAAATCTTAATCCTTTAGCATTATATGTTCCCTGCGGCTGTCATAGTTTAAATTTAGTAATAAGTGACTCTTCGCGGTGTTAATTAATATCTATAACTTTATTTGATATTCTCCAAAGATTGTTTACTCTATTCTCAGCTTCAGTAAGCCGATGAAAACTTTTAATTGATCACGTTAAAGTTTTGCATTTAAAGAAACTCTGTGACACGCGGTGGGAAGCAAAATTAAGTAGTGTCAAAGCTGTTCGTTATCAAGTTGGTGATATACATGACACATTGATAGCATTGTCAGAAATTGAAGGATGTGATCCTGAAATTGCTCATGAAGCAATAACTCTAGCAGAGCAGTTGAAAGATTTTAGCTTTCTTGTCTCTTTAATTGTCTGGTATGACGTTCTTTCTCAAGTCAATATTGTTAGTAAAACTCTTCAAGAGAAAAACATGGACATCACTCAATGTGCAAAATTAGTGGAAAGCTGTTGCTTATTTTTAGAAAACTACAGAAAATGTGGTTTTAAAGATGCAATTATAAAAGCAAAAGGTTTGGCCGTAGAGTTGGAGCCTGTTTTTAAACCACTTAAAAGAATAGTATGAGTAAAACGCCATTTTGATGAACCAGCCTAAGATGAGATTTTTTCATTTTCTTCTGAAAAAAAATTAGAAATGGATTTTTTCAAAAAAAAAAAAAAAAAAGAAATTCTAAAATCATGTTTAGCCCTTTAAAGTAAACTTACCGTAAGTCTAAAATCGGACATTAATTGTATTCTCCTTTGCAATGAACTGATGGGCATTAAACCTTTTCTTACTGAAATGGTCAAGGATAAAATTACTCTTATTATTGTTTTAAACTTTATAAAACAGCATAAAATGCAAGATTTGTATCCTTGGATTGCAATGCGAAATTTGCTAACAATACCTGTCACTGTAACGAGTGGAAAAAGAAGCTTTTCCAAAATGAAACTTATAAAAATCTATCTGCAGTCAACAATGTTGCAGGGTAGACTTTCAAGTTTATGAACCCTATCGACTGAAAACGATATTGCTGAATTTCTTGATTTTTCTATGCTAATCAAAAACTTTGGTGATAAAAGACCCAAAAGAATAATTTAAAAAACTAAATGTATTTTGTGTAAAACATAAACAAAAAACGTTTCTTTGTGTGTAGCATTTAATTGCAAAGTTATTTTTGAATTCGATTTGTTACTATTTTCCGTGTAATTTACCAGCAAGTTTATAAATTGTCAGGGGCGGCAGAAAAAACTTCGCACTAGGGCGGCAAGAAGGGTAAGGCCGGCACTGAATATACTAAATTAAAGTTATATTTAACAGGGCAGTAACAACAGGTAGAAGGAGTCAAAAAGTATTATTAAAAAAATTCTGTGACCTTTTTTCTGAGAGTTTTTGAAAGAACTTGAAGGTTAACGGGAAAAAAAAAGATTGTTTACTCAATTAAAACTGTCACCTTTTTTCATTTTTCCTTTTTTTTTATTTTATCAAATTCAGTATTATAAAAACAAATTTAACGCTCAGTGCTATTATAAAGTTTTATATATCTTAGCAAATGTATATGATTATAGATTTATAAAAATATTTTGTTCTCAAAATATCCTCAGGTCCACCGATGCAAAAGTTTCGATAGTTAAAGTAAAAGTTTTTCTCATATATAGTCCACCGATGCAAAAGTTTCGATAGTTAAAGTAAAATTTTTTCTCATATATAGTCAACAATAGTTCTTAAAACTACCTAACGAAATAATTGCTTTTTTACTAAAGAAAAAACTACCCAAAGTTGCATTTGATATAACAAAAAAATGATAACTGAACTTAAAAAATAAATATTTTTATTATTAAGGTATATTGGGGCCAGATGTTTTATATTCAAATAAATATTTCTGCTTT